TGTAGTGCTTCTTTGCAGGGCTTAATCGGGGATTTATAGGGTGTTGGGCGGATATATAGGGAGCTTGGGTCGAAGTTCCTTGCTTCCGGCCAATGTAATTCTAGCCTGCGACAGTATATTTTGTCGCTACAGCCTGCCCCTTCCCCTCCCGCACTCCGACAAACTACTTCAACGTAACATAGTGTACGTGCCGTAAGACCTAGAACAGGGTTTCGGGGTGGAGTGAAGTAGAAGAGAAAGATTGCAAACATGCCGGCCTTCTTCCACGACCACCACCAAAACATCATAACAGGAAACCAACCAATGACCCTCTTGTAGCCCATATGGGTAGTTTTCTAAATTAGGGTCCCTTTTTGGGTCCCCAATACAGTACGGCACCCTTATGAAAAGGACCCCCAAAGGGACACTAGTTTAGAGAACCACCTGTAGACTAGACGACACAGCTCTGAGGCCGCAAGTACCAGCCCTAAATTCTGAAATCCAAATCTGCTTTCTGACAGTCTGAGAGAGGATTCAGGGGGGGAGTATAGGGTCCCGAGCCCTGGACACTAAAACTTTCATCGGTGGCTTCGTGCGGAGGTCGGTATGTGGCTTTTTGCTTTGGGCCTTGGTCGCCTTAGCTGTTGCCTTTAAGGTGTAGTTACATAGTTCGGAAGTCCTAAAACCAAGAACCCTAAGCATTAAACCCAGGGGTCATGGGGTGTTAGGGGAGGGTCAACCCCATGTAAACAAAGGTCAGCACATGCTCCAAATCTTTCGTCCCATGACAAATGCCTGTAAGAATTCGAAACAGCACTGAACAAATTTGGGAATTTAGGGAGGGAGTCGGGTTGAAGGGTTTAGGGATCTAGGCATTATAAGGCCTTAGGGTTTACGGATTGAGGTATTTAAGGTTTTAGGTGTTGGAACCAGAAGCCAGCAAGTTGGAACATCATTTTCCTCCTGCCCTTCGGATGCACGAGGAATCCTAGCAAACCTGACCGTACGCCATGTCCCCACTGTGCTTGCAAACTGCCAATGGCTGAGCAGAAGTGCAGTCCGAAGCACACGTCGGGGATGTATCTGGGCTCCATGGACGGCGTGTGCTGCATGCAAACCCCGCCGTGCCTTGGACGATAGGGGCATTGGGGAACAGAGACCCAGAAATGCTGTGAATGGCAGGAGCCCTCAGCCCCAAACCCTATATAATGTAGGGGCCTCAACAATTAGAATAGGGCTTTGGGGCCCATATTATATTACAAGTATAATAACGAACCCTAAGGAATAGTATAGGTAATTATTTTGGCTTCCATATTAAACCCTGAACCTAAAAGCCTCAACCCTAAACCCCATCTGAGCGGGCCCTCAAGCCAGATCCCCCAACTCGCACGATGCAGGGCTTTAGGTAGCACTATTATGCGTACCCCTGAAAGGGTACCCCTTCTGAACCCTACTTTTGGCTCTCTTAAAAGGGACCTTATTGAGAGGGTCTATATCCCCAAGGGTCCCCCTAATCCTAGCTCCCAGTCTTAAGGTTCAGGGTTTAGCGTTTAGGGTTTAGGGCCTGGGGGGAGGAACCCGGCATATCGTCCAGTCATTCAGCAACCTAGTGCAAGATTAAGGAGAAATAGTAATAGTAGTAGTAGTAGTAGTAGTAGCAGTAGCAGCAGCAGCAGCAGCAGCAGCAGCAGCAGCAGTAATGCAGGGGCCTGAATTTCTTACTAACACTATTTTGGGGATTCCTTAATATTACTACACTATAAGGGGCCCCAAAACCCTATTCTAATTATTAAGGCCCCTACATTTTGAAACCCTTCTACTAACCCTTCTAAAACCCTTTGAGGAACCCCTTCAAGGAACCCCAAAACCCTATTCTAATTACTAAGGCCCCCATATGAGTTCACTCTAAGGTTTCGGTTCTCTCCTCGTGGATGTGTAGATCTTCTTTGTTTCCTGCAACCCACTGGGCTTGTCTAAACCCTAAAATGGTAAACCCTAAACCCTAAACCCTAAACCCTAGACCCTAAACCCTAACTAAAATGGCAAACCCTAAACCCCAAAGTTAAGAGCCTGAGTCTTCAAGCTCAGGACTTAGGGCATAGGTGCTCTGGGTGCAGGGTTTCTGTGCAAGAGTCTTACCGATAATTCGTCTCCATTCTAGTTCTTTTTCTGGGTTCCCTTCGAGGATCCTAAATATAAGATTGGTTAAACCAACAAAAGGAACTAGAATGGAGACTTTAGGTAGGGTTTCAGGCGTTCTTTGGCAGATCGACGCTGCCTCTACTCTTTAGCCCCCATCACCTGACACTGCCGATCCCTCAGCCCTACCTGGACCCTGCACTGTAGCAATATATGTGTGTGTATATATATATATATATATCATACATACACGCACATGATAATGTGTGTATAAAAAGATATACATATACATTGGTACCGTTGTAGTCAGTGTTGGTGCATATTGTACTATGTAGACAAGAAAACAGGAAGCCCAAAGAAATACTGTTACCCTAAGGGTCCATGTATCCAAATAGTAGATACTTGGGCCTTAAAGTAGTCCCTATGTGGGTACTTTGGGGCCAAAGTATCTACTATTTGGGTACATGGACCCTTAGGGTTATACACTATACTTACGTACTGGGTCTCTATAGTAGGACCTAAAGTAACAAAGGTACTGCAATCCACGCCCTGAGACGCACTCCATGGCCCAAGACTCGCGTCAGAAGACCCCGGCAACAGAAACCACTGAACCGAACATTTCAAAATTAGGGTCCCTTTCTTAAGTCCCCAAAATAGTACTGCACCCTTATACAGAGGACCCGAAAAGGACCCTAATGTAGAAGTAACCATGTATGAATGTAAGATATGGAGCCGTAAAAGCACCGAACCTCCAACCGCTCCGGAATTCCACATGCATCGCTCGCACGATCGTTGCGACGGTACATCGAATCTAGAAGTCTGATTGGCTTGAACGAGATCATGACGCCGGACTGCTATCAAAGGGTTTCTGGGGGTTTGTAAGGTTTAAGGTTAACTAACGTATAAGGTTTTAGGGTTTGGCGTCGGGTGTGATGTTCGGATTCCTCTACTTTGCTAGGTGCCATATGGGGGTTCCCGGACGATCTCCGTTTTGAGGGGTCCTTAGAGTTTAATGGGGCTTAACCCCAAGGGTCCAAAGGACCCAATAATTAGGTACTTAGGTTTCTGATCGTAGTGATGTAGGTTACTATTTGGGAGAGTACATGGTTATTAGGTACTTGGACCCTAAACCCTAAACCCTAAAGCCTTAGGGTAATATAGGGGACTGAAGAACCAGCAGTATCTGTCCTTGAGGTTTCCCGAGATGTTGGTACAAACTCCCTTCAAACACGTAAGGTTCCACGGGAAAGGACTAGCTTGACGCAGTGCACGACAGTGTCCTCGGTGACCTAATACAAGGTTTTGGGGCATCTTTTACTATACTTATTGTAAGGAAACCCCAAAAGTATTGATATTTCTTAGAGTAATGGTTTCACAACAAGCCATGTGTGTAGCAAGCTGTGTGCTCGACGCCCCAAACCCTCAAAGCTTTAAATCCAAGATCCTACACCCTACACCCCAAACCCTACGCCGTAAACCGTACACTCTAACTACACCCTGAATCCTAAGCCCTACATCCTACACCCTAAACCCGGAACCCTAAGCCCTACATCTGGGAAGCTAGAGCCATCGAAAGGCAGCCGGGTGGCTGCTGGCCATGCGTGAGCCGCGAGTCTGCGAAGATGTAGTCGATCATCAAGGCCTCATTCCGAATTTAGGGTTTAGGGTGCTTCAGAAAGTCTTAACTCAAGTTACCGTGGCAAGGGCTTAAAGAAGCAATAGGGTCGCCTTTGCAACAGCTAAGAAGGTCCTGCACTCAGACCCTGCCGATATATACACACACATGTGTGTGTGTGTACATGTATATTATACATGTATATATATATATATAAACCTTGCTATTGTTGATACACGGCACCCAGGCTTGCATAGCTTCGCAGACGGCTGATCGCTTACTCACCAGATCTAAGGTCTCTTGTTCGGGGCCTTCTTGATGAGCCTGATGTGGGTTCCAGCAAAATTTATGGTAGACACCTAGGGGGTCGCAGGATCTAGCTCAAGTCGAAGTTGGACAACTGTGATTCATGTCTATATATATATATATATACATATATGTGCATGAAATAAATGAATAAATATATATATAAAAGAGATATAGCCGCTATAGCCCTTCACCTGAATCCCCGCTTAGCCCCAAAGCACTGCAAGAGCAAGAATCGTAAACCACCCGTAACCCCCAAATCCGTACCCTAAACCCTAAACCCCAAATCCTGTCACAAACCCACGAACACTGAAATAGAAGCATACCCTAAACCCTAAACCCCAAATCCTGTCACAAACCCACGAACACTGAAATAGAAGCGTACCCTAAACCCTAAACCCCAAATCCTGTCACAAACCCACGACCACTGAGATAGAAGCGTACCCTAAACCCTAAACCCCAAATCCTGTCACAAACCCATGAACGCTCAAACTTCACGCGTGAGTAATCAGGAAAGGACTACGTACCAACCTCCTGGGTGCCTGAGTAATGCAGGGTTTAGGGTTTAGGTGCCTTAGTAATGTAGGGGCCTGAATAATTTAGAACAAGGCCTTGGGGCTCCTTTACAGGGTTCCTTAAAGGATTCTACAGGGGCTACTATAACGGTTTAGGGTGTAGGGGCCTTGATGATTAGAATATGTTTTTTGGCAACTCTATAGTATCATTAAAAATAAGGAACCCCAAGAGTAATATTGATAACTATTTAGGCTTCTATAGTATGCCCACGGACCAATTTCCCTTAATTCAGGAACATATCTATTTTAAATCATGCTAGGGATACTATTATGAGTCAAAAATAGATTCCTCAATTCAGGGAAATTGGAAGGACTGGGTACTTGTACTTCTACTTATACCCCTCCTCCCCCCTCCCCTTCAAACCCTTTTCTATCTACCAAGGCCTCTAAACGCCCTGCTCGGGAGTGGTGGCAGCCAACTGCCCGATCAGGCGTAGTCAAAATTCAGGCTTGTGGCAAAGGGCTTTTGTTTCTAGGGTTTACCCATAGGCTCCATTATACTTTCTTTTTGGTGTTACCTATATGGTCCAGAACAGAAATCACAAAAATGAAATAGAATGGAGCTCAAAACCACGTCAAGCCCCGTAAGACCATGTATGTGGCCTTCCAAGTAGGACCCTAAAAAATGCTAGAAGCCCCGCCCCTCAACCCCACACCCCTAAACCCTAAACCCTAAACTCCTAGAAACCCTAAACCCTAAACCCCTAAACCCTAAACCCCTAGAAACCCTGAACCCCTAGAAACCCTAAACCCTAAAGCCCTACCCTGAGGGTCCAAGTAGTCAATAT